GTCACCTGCGTGTGGGTGACTAATTTTAGGAGCAAGCCTCTCAGTGTCATGATCACCTCTTTGCTACATGTACCACGTCTCTGGTACAACAGACCTACCGTCATCCAACTGGCTCAGGTCCCCGCCGTCTCTATCCTGTTTCTATCCCTAATACCAAGTGTATGATTTGCTATGCCCTAGTCTCTTGTGTGCCAACTCACAAATGTTGTGCTACAGCTCGTTTTGATTTGGTTCAATGTTGAAACACAACATTTGTGGGTTAGCACACAAGAGACAAAGGCATAGGCTTGGTATTATATATAGAAAGAGGATAGAAACAGTGAAAGCTAAAGCTAGTTAGCTAAAAATAGTCGTGATTTAAGGATCACGTTTAAGATCAAACACGTCTATTGTTAGCCGAACACCTTTAATGTCTAGCTCGTCTTTCCTGTTTCTATCTTATAATACCTTGAGTATCACTTCTTCAAATCTCCTGTTAATTAGATTACTCTCAGTCAGTATATTAATGGCCTCTTGGATCTTGTGTTTTCTCGTATTTTCACCATATCCAGCCAACTTATCGGTCGATTTTCAGTCGATTTCATGAGTTTCGATGTACAATCCCTGTTACAAACATCTCAGGTGAGAAGGCGACAAGCACCACTGCAACCAAGAGTACTCATGCAATATTTGGATGATTATTTTGCACTTTGGTCACATGGTAAGGAAAATTTAAATGAATTCCTTAATTTCATTAACGAACTTGATGAAATAATTAAATTCCCAATGGAGCTGGAAGAGGATGAACGACTACCCTTTCTGGATATTGAAGTCATGCGCTCTAGAGGGACACTCATGAGGATAGGTTGGCTGGATCTAGTGAAAATACGAGAAAACGCAAGATCCCAGAGGCCATTGATATACTTACTTAAAGGAATCTGATGAACAGGAGACTTGAAGAAGGCAGGATCAGCGAAAACTTTGCATATTGCCTAAACAAACTCGGAGAAGACCAGGCAACAGGAAGATCAGCAAAAAGAAGACGACTGGATCAAGTTTATATTCTTAATTTTAGGAAAATAGATCGCAAGGGGACGAGAAAGGAAGAATCAGAAGCAAAGAGGAGACTTCTTCAGTGAGCCTTTTCAAAACAAGAAGAATCAGGACATTTGTGGGTTGGCACACAAGAGACTAGGACATAAGAACTGATAGTTATGGTATTATAGAGAGAAACAGGAAAGACGAGCTGGACACAATACACGTGTTTGATCTTAAACGTGATCCTTAAAAAATACTACTATTTTTAGCCAACCAGCTCTAGCTTCCACTGTTTCTATCCTCTTTCTAACTATAATACCAAGCCTATTACATCCTATGCCCTTGTCTCTTGTGTGCTAACCCACAAATGTTGTGTTTTAACATTTAACCAAATCAAAACGAGCTGTAGCACAACATTTGTGAGTTGGCACACAAGAGACTAGGGCATAGCAAATCATACACTTGGTATAAGGGATAGAAACAGGATAGAGACGGTGGGGACCTGAACCAGTTGGCTGACGGTAGGTCGGTTGTACCAGAGACGTGGTCCATGTAGCAAAGGGGTGATGATGACACTCA